ATAAATTAAAAAGTTCTTGAATTGGAGCGGTCAGGAAGCTCCAAGCTAGCCTATTGCAGGATATTTGATGATACTGTGTAAAGATATGTGGCTGTGATTGGTTTAATAAAAAGTTAAATGGCCTATAGCGAGGCAGGAGGTATAGCCAGACTTTTGGACAGAGAGAGCTCTGGGAGGAGGAAAGGCAGAGTTGCCAGACAGACTCAGAGAAAACAGGATGGGCTAAATGGAGATGACGTAACGAGCATGTGGAAGAATGTAGATTAAAAAATATGGGCTAGGGGCTGGAGAGATGGCTCAGAGGTTAAGAGCACTGACTGCTCTTCCAAAGGTCCTGAGTTCAATTCCCAGCAACCACATGGTGGCTCACAACCATCTGTAATGAGGTCTGGTGCCCTCTTCTGACATGTAAGCATACATGGAAGGAATGTTGTATATATAATAAATAAATAAATCTTAAAAAAAATATGAACTAATTTAAGTTATAAGAGCTAGTTAGAAACAAGCCTAAGCTAAGGCCAAGCTTTTATAATTTATAATAAGTCTCTGTGTCATTTTTGTGAGCTGGTGGCCCAGAGTAAAATCCATCTACACTAGCCAAGACTATGCAGTGAGACTCTGTGGCAAACAAGTAAATAAAGATACTGAGAAAGTAACCAAAAGAAAAGCACCTCATCTCTCAACTATTCCCTCTATAGGAACAGTTAGGACTAAAAGTAAATTTAATTTGAAGAGATAATTATTGGTATTTTTCAAAACAGTATGCTGTGATGATTTTCTTTTGTCTTTGTGCTTGTATGTTTGTTTGTGTGTGTGTGTGTGTGTGTGTGTGTGTGTGTGTGTCAGAATCTCATACATCCCAGGAAAACCCTGAACTTGCTAAGTAGCTGAGAGTGACCTTGAACTTCCGACTTTCCTGCTTCCACTTCTCTAGTGCGGGGGTGACAGGCAATACCTGCTTTTTTTCCAGACACATTTCCAGAAACTTCTACAGTCTGTTTTATAGGCTGCAAGAAAAGAAAAGGCCCCTGGCTGTGGTGGCCCACGTCTTTAATCCCAGCACTCGGGAGGCAGAGGCAGGCGGATCTCTGTGAGTTTCACTAGCCTGGTCTACAAGAGCTAGTTTCAGGACATGCTCCAAAGCTACAGAGAAACCCTGTCTCAAAAAACAAAAACAAACAAACAAACAAAAAGATCACAGCTGCTTGCAGAACAGAAGCTTCCTACAGGCAATTTTTAATATACAAATAACTTGAGTGACTTTGCGTTTGTAAATGGCTATCTTTTCAGATCCAGCAGGAGTAGTCTCAATTTCAGAGATAGGCCTTATCTTACTTCCACTGGGGAATGTATATATGAATACATGGCAATACATAGCTAGTTGGTTTTACCAAAGAAACAATGGGGTGATTTGAAGTAGTAATAGTTGTTATAGAAATGAATGCCCATGTTAAGAAGTGTCCAGAAATATTAGTTTAAAAACCAAATTATATTGAGGAACTCTAGGACCGATGCTGCTTCTCTAGGAAAGGGGTTTAACTGATCACAGAGGGCTGTGGCATAGCACCAATTAGATTGGTGCCACATAAATATTCTCATACCAGTATGCCAGGAAAGATTCAGCTGCTGCTTCAATGCTTTTATTTTTATCTTTTAATTCTCTCTCACTTCCCTTCCCTTCCCTTCCCTTCCTTTCCCTTCCCTTCCCTTCCCTTCCCCCCCCCCTCCTTCATGCGAGTACAGGTTTGGAGCTCTGAGGAGGGTGTTGAATCACCCCCAGGAACTGGAATTATAGGCAGTTGCCAGCTAGCTGTTATGGGTGCTGGGAACTGAACAATGGCCCGCAGTTACCGCAGTTAGTGATGAAAATGAGGACATGAGTCCTCCTGGGTCTGGTTAAGAAGAAAGGTTTTATTGTAGGTATGAAGGAGATCACAGCCAGAGGCATGCGGACAGGTCTAGACTGAACATGGCCAGCAGAACAGATCCAGCCATGAGAGGAAAGAAAGAGGGGGGAAGTGAGAGAGGAAGAGGAGGAGGGGGCAAGCCAACAAAGAAAGGAGCTAAAGATCAAGAGGACAAGAGAGCTGTGTAGCCAAAATGACTGAGTTATAGAGCAAAGCCAAGCTGGGGGAAGTGCAGCCCACCTCTTGGCTGAAGAGTTTGGGGTAAGGGCTGAGTGTTGTAAGCAAGCTGCTTGTTGGTTCCCGGCTGCTCAGCCCTGAAATAATCACACAGGAACTGTATTAATTAAATCACGGCTTGGCCCATTAGCTCTAACTTCTTATCGGCTAGCCCTTACATTTTAATTTAATTCATTTCTAGTAATCTGTGTATCACCATGACGTTGTGGCCTACCAACAATTTCAGCGCTGCCTCCACCAGAGGCTCCATGGCTTTTTTCAGACTCCGCCTTCTCCCTCCCAGCATTCAGCTTAGTTGTCTCCACCTAGCTAAATTCTGCCCTGCTATAGGTCCAAAGCAGTTTCTTTATTCATTAATGGTAACCACAGCATACAGAGGGGACTCCCATATCAGCTGAGTGAGAAGGGCTGGCAGCAGCCACAGGTACTGAATGATTTCCCCCAGGTGTCTTTGAGTCCTAACAAGCAGCATGCATGTCTAACTGCTGAGCCCTCTTTTTAGACCTTGTTTGCTATTTTAAAAAGAGCAAAGTGACTGGATTGGTCCGGGTTAGTGGAGCATGCCTGTAATCCCAGAATTTGGAAGGTGGAGTCAGGAGACCAGGATTTCAATACCATTTTGTTCTACATAGCTAGTTCTAGGCCAGCCAGCACTACATAGTAAGATTCTGTCTTTAGAAAAAACATATTAGATAAAGAGACTAGCTTCATGGAATAAAAATTGTTTATCAAACTGCATCTAGGTAGGGTTGGAGCCAGGCTCCTTGTTCTCTGAGCTTGCCTTATACTGTTGAATAGTGTCTCACTGTTGGGGGATGCAAACTGTGGATATACCTAGAGAAGGATGTATTACATAACAGAAATCTTGTCATCCAGGTTTGGGGAAAGACAAACTAACCAGTTCTGCGATGTTCGGTGGAAAGCTCTTGGGCCCTTTGAAGAAGGAAATGGGTGGGAGAACCCTCATTCTTCTTATGGAAACCTGGATCCTGAACTACAGAAACAAGGTGGTTTTTTTTTTTTTTGTGGTTTTTCAAGACAGTGTTTCTCTGTAGCTTTGAGCCTGTCCCGGAACTAGCTCTTGTAGACCAGGCTGGCCTCGAACTCAGAGATCTGCCTGCCTCTGCCTCCCGAGTGCTGGGATTAAAGGCGTGCGCCACCACTGCCTGGCCAGAAACAAGGTTGTTATTTTCAGTAAACTAAGGGGCAATTTGGCAAGCATCAATTTAATATGCTTCTTACTAGGCTCTTACTGAAATCAATAACCATTTGTTTCTGAATGTCCTGTGAGGTATCTGGCTACCTCTATACTGCTAGCCTATCCAATGTACTATCCAAAGGAGTGGGGGAAACCGGCACGTGTATCCATGCACCAGGGAAAAGTCTGTCCTGCAACTTTTAGGACTGTTTCTAGTGGCCCAGTAATTTGTTTTCTGACCGAGGGTTCTGATTTATAAAGTGTATTCTCTGCAAAGGGAGTAAGCTACATTTTACTTAAAACAGCGGTTTTTTTAATCTTCCTAATGCTGTGACCTTTTAATACAGTTTCTCATGTGGTGATCCCCAACAATATTACTTTCATTGATATTCATAACTGCAGTTTTGCTATGGTTATGATTCATAATGTAAATATCCATGTTTTCTGACTGTCTTAGGTGACCCCTGTAAGATTCATTCCTCTATGGGGGGGTCAAGATCCATAGGTTGAAAACTTCTGCTTTAAGACTAGACTACACCCAGGCTTATCCAAGGTCCCAGAGGACTCCTTGAAGATAGTTTCAAGTTACAAAGTTGATTCACTCTTGGGTGTACAGTGATGGCAATTTCAAGCTGATAGACAATACCTTTGCTGTAGTTGCATTTGAGGAACTGAAGAAATTCGCTATCTACTTTTTGGGAAGAGGGGTCTATCCTGGCCACTCTACACTGAGCTGGGGAAAAACCCATCAAAGCCTTTTCTTATTAATTTTTAAAATTACAAAGGTTAAGAATAAAAAGCAGAACCAAGCAGAAAGAGAACAAATCCACCTAAAATTTCACCAACTACTGGGATACACGGATGAACACTTTGGTTAGTTTGAGCATCTCTCTCTATATATATCATAATTTTAAAGAAAAGAGATTTTGTGACTTGTTCTCCTTTCCCCTTCACATGAGTACCTAAGATAAACTTCACATTTTACCTTGCCATCCCAGCATTTCCGAACTCTGTATATACAAGGGATACATAACTGACTTTTTATCCCAGGGCATGACAGGAGACATAAATAAATAAAACCCGGTGTGGTGGCGCAGGTCTTTAATCCCTGCGTTTTGGAGGCAGAGGCAGGCGGATATCTTGAGTTTGAGGCCAGCCTGGTCTGCACAGTGAGGCGCTGTCTCGAATTAAAAAAAAAAATCAAAAAAACAAAAACCAAATCAGTGCTATAGGCAACAAACCCTTTGCTACCCATCTTTCTGGAAGAGTCGTTCCCTAAACCCACTGGCATGAGGTTTGTGTGTCTTCCCACAGAAGGACTCAGAGTCCTGTGGGTTCCCGCCACCCGCGGGGCTAGATCCAACCTGGTAACCTCCCAGGACCCGGCCGGTTGTTCAGGAGAGGCGCTCGGGGAAATAAGGCCCCTTCTCAGAGACGCCTGGTCCCTATGCCGCCTCATCCCTCTCCAGAGCCGAGCCCAGTGTCTGGGGCAGCCAGGGGTGTCCCTTGTGCCTCTCCCACCCTGGCCGGACCACAGCTCCTCGCGCGCCCCCAACCCGCGCCCGGGGTGCGGACACCCAGGAGCCGGGTGGTGAGCTCCGCCGCGCCGTCCCCCAGTGATGACGCGCTTCCTGCCCTCCCGGCGCTCGCGGGCCGTGCGCTCGCGCTCGCCCTCGGCTCCGGTTCCGCGCCCGGAGCCAGCGGCGGCGGCGGCGGCGGCGGAGGCGCAGCGGGAGCCGAGCCGGCTGCACTCAGGGGCTGGCGCTCTGCAATGAGACAGTAGCTGCATCCCCGCGGTAAGGCGCGGCGCGTGGCGCTACCCTGCTCTCCAGTCTGCATGCGCGCTGCAGGGATTTCGAGTGTCTTTTCCCTCCCCTCTCCAGAAGGAATATGTGGGTGGTTTTCTTCTTGGGTTTGCATCTCGTAAGTGATGTCAATGTAGAAAAACCCTGTCAAGCTTCTAGATTTTATTTCCTACGGGGGATTTTTTTTTTTTTGCAAGAAGAGAAAAATAAATTGCAACGAATGCACCTGTCTATTGCACATGTAGGTTTCGCCGCACTCAGCCCGGGTGCCGGGCTTTGCAAATAGTCTTCCAGCTGGAGCCGGAGAGCTGATCCCTTGCCCTAGGCAGCTGGTCCCCCCCAGGGCTCCCTCTAAGGGTTTCCGGTAACGGGGTCGGAACAGCGGTCCCGGTCTGCACTGAGGGGGTCCCTTGGACCCCGGCTGGGGCCCCTGGTGCCGACAGAGTTGGTGGAGGGCAGAGCGGCTTCATTCCAGCACTGGCGGCTCCGACTTCCAGCGCCACTTTGCAAACAAGTCTCCCGCCCCAGCTCGCGGCGAAAGGCACTGGAGGCTGCTTCCCAACACCGGACACTGAAACCTGCGGGTTGCACGTCTTCCCCTTTCCCTGGTCATCTCGCTATCAGACAGCTATTGGCCGTGGACCGCTCGGGGGAAGCGCGGGGCCGAGAGCAGTCAGGGTTTGGATCCAGCGCGGCGGCCTCTCGTTTCCTTCCCCGACCCCCAGGAGCTGAGATTTCGCGCCGGCGGGGATCGAGAGGGACTTGGAGACTGGCAATTCGGGGCCCAAGGAACGACGTTCGAGGGCGCCATATTTTCAGTGGGTTTTTCAGAGGCTAAGGGGGCGCCCACTTTCCGAAAGACCCCCGGGGGAGGCCGGAGCGATTGTCCCTGGGAAAGTTTGCGCGCCCCGGAGAGCTAGGAGGAGGCTGTCCCCACAAGGGCGCGCAGACTGCAGCGTGTTGCTCAGCCTGGGCCAGGCTGGGTCTGGGGGAAAGAGAGACGTTGGGGACCGAAGAGTGCGGCTCGCGGGTGTCACGGTGCAGCGGAGTGGTAGCATTTGGGACTGTGAGGCGCAGGGCACACGCCCCTCTTTTCCCCAGGTCACCGCCGCCCGCGCTCGGCCGGAGCCTTGCGCACCGCCGCTCCCCGGCCCGGCGCACGTTGCAGAGCGTTTCCTCCAGCGCCCTTTCCCCCCAGCACCGCGTCTCGCCGGTTGTTCCACCAGGCGCGGGAGCTCACGCAGGGCTGGAGAGGAAGCGGCTAGGTTCGTAGATGGGGCAAAGGCCTGGCTTATGTGGTTCAGCCTGAAGCCTCCGGTCGTCCCCTGGCTTGTGGAGGCGACCGGAGTAGCACCCGCGGCTGCGTGCTGGGCTCTCACTGTGGCGCGGGCTGGAGGAGGAAAGGGGGGCGTTTCCCAAAGTCGGGGCTTCAGGTGACACGTGGGAAAACTTGTTTTCTTGCTGCTGGCGATGGGGCAGAGATGGAAGGAAAGGAAAGGAAGGAAGGTTAATGAAAAACTAAGTCCGGATTTTTTCTAGAGAACGGGAGAGGAACGACTGAAGCAGCTGAAGTGTTTGGTGTTGTAGAGAATATAGTTGCAGTAGGATGGTATCTCAGGGAAGCGCGCGCTGAAATACACGGAATCACGAGCACTATGGTGCTCAAAGTGACACTTTTGATTCTGATAACCCATGGAAGAGAGAGTTGACATTCTTGATGTCCTAGCTCCTGGAGGTAGTGACTTAGTAGAAATGGGCCTGTGGGGGAATCTTTACTTTTGTACATAGATAGTGACCCCTGCTTTGTCGTGACAGGGCAGGGCAGAGTGTGTTTGCTGACCTGTGATTGGCTGGGTGCTGGAATATGTTAGCTTTTTTCCTTGGTGTCTTAATGAAATTGTCACAGTGGAGGGGTCGTGTCAGCTCTTGGAAGAGATTCCGGGAAGGACCACAGAAACCTAACGGGGTGAGGGAGTGGGGGAAGCAGAGATTTTCGTTAGGAAGATGTGTCCCTGACATCGGCACATCTTCATGAAGTGCCTCCAGTGTGAACGTTACCCTTTCAGTTTCCAAGGTTGTGTCTTGTCTTGTCCACACCAAGGGGATCTGTGCTGAAAGTCAGGAGGAGGTGGGGTTGACGTGACCTTTGGCCTTGAGAAGGGGTGGTGGTGTGCAGGCAAGAATGCTTTTTCTTCCTTTAATTTGAACACTGGAAGAGAGGAAACGACTGAGATTACATTTGTACAGAATTAGAATAGCTAATGTTGGGAAGAATTTGCTGCTGAGAGCCCCCGCCCCCCCCAACTACATTGAAATTTCCAGACTTAGATTAGCGGTGGTACACCGAGTCCCAGAAGCGGAGGTTTCTCAGTCACTGTCTATCCTGTGCTTTTGTGCCCCTTTTCATTTAATTAGGAAATGCTATGGGACTATGGGGGTCTCAGTTTGGGGCTTTGTGTTCTAGGCTATCTCCGAGGGAGAAGTAAGACTTTCCAAACTTGATCCTTTTGAATTGCTATTCAGAATAGGTGTAGGCAAAGTGTGTTTAAAATGCACCATATTCAGATTTGTTTTTCAGCATTGTTCCCTAGAGGGCATTTTAAGTTTATTTTTTTATGTGCATGTTCCTGGCTCCTGTGTGCAGTGGCCAGAAGAGGGTGTTGGGTCCCATGGTAACTGGAGTTATAGGTGGTTGTGAACCACAGTCTGGATGCTGGGAACCAAACCCATATCCTCTGCAAAAGCAGTAGATGCCCTTAACTGAGGAGCCATGTCTATGTGCCATGTGTATTTTTGCACACCTTTTAATCATGATGCAATGAAAATGAACTTAAAAGAGCTTTTAAGAAAGTTTTTAAATTTTACATTTATTTGTCTGTCTATCTACCCGTCTGTCTATCTATCTATCTATCTATCTATCCATCCATCCGTCTACCTATCTATATTTTTTTATTTTTTATTTTTTTTAAATATTTATTTATTATATACACAATATTCTGTCTGTGTGTATGACTGCAGGCCAGAAGAGGGCACCAGACCTCATTTCAGATGGTTGTGAGCCACCATGTGGTTGCTGGGAATTGAACTCAGGACCTTTGGAAGAGCAGGCAATGCTCTTAACCTCTCAGCCATCTCTCCAGCCCCCCTATCTATATTTTTGTGTGTGGTGGGTGGGGGAATGCCACAAGGCACCCTCTGGAGGTCGGAAGAATCAACTCTTCTACCATGTGACTCTCTGGGATTGAATTCAGGTTATTAGGCTTTGGGGCAAGTGCCCTCTCCCAGCCAGCATGTCACTCGTCAGCCTCAGAGATGCTTTGTTTCAGGTCCTCTAATATTTAATTTCAGCTCTACTACCTTAATATTTATTTAATGTTGTATGCCCCTTTCACTGGGCATTAGTAACCAGGCTTTGCTGTCTCTTGCCTGGTTCTTCCTATCGTAACTTTATAGCTTGATCAATGTGCCTGATCCCTCCCACCCCCCGTAAGATTTTGTACCTTTGTGAACTGGAAAGTTGCCTATCAGTTTACTAGGCCACGTGACAGGTGGTGCGCGCACGCATGTGGCATGCCCAGGCTCTTAGGATGGTGTCTGCGACTTGTAATCTGTGACATTCTTGCTCCAGGACTTCTTGAGTCAGAATATTTTCTTTGGGATTTTGGGTGGTATTTGACTAACAGGAAGTGCCAATAACAGTTAAATCGTTCCAAACATTTTTTATTAGGTATAAAAAAATATTTAAAGACAAGAAAAAAAATCTAACAAGGAGACCAGCATTCTAGAATTATAGCTTAAAAAAACCCAACTGATGCCTTTTTAATTACAGTATTTACCCCATCCCGAACTTTTTAATCCTATTGCTTTTATATTTAATAACCAGGCTAGCTAAAACATAAGCCAAACACAACTATTACAAATAATGGGGATAAGTGGTGGGTTTAACCAGATGTTTTCCCTAAAGCTGAACTCTTCCAAACTTTCCTGCTCCCCCCATCCCCAACAAACAGGCAAAACTCAAAAGATGAGGATGTCTTAGAGGGAAGACCAGAAACGTGAAAATGGACTCCTGGAGGTTGAGCACCATAGCAACCTGTGTCTCAGTGGCCCTTGCCGTTGATGGGCAAGCTGGACACAAGATTCTGTGGTCCTTTGAGTCCCCCTTCTCGTGTTGCTCTGAGCTATGTTTGCAGCCTATTTCACGGTGGGTTTTCAGAGTCTGACTGGGGCCCACATACTTGTTTTATTTTTAACCAACAATTCCATGTCTACCAGCTGGTTCTAGCTACCATACTCTTCTAAGAGCCTAGAGTAGCCCACAAACATTTGTCTTTTTTTTTTATTTATTCTCCTACCTTTGGCTTTAACAAACTCAATTCTTGGTCTCACTTCTGCAGTAAAACCTCTTGGGGGTTTATCTTGCTTCTCTGGTAAGAGAACCCTGCCCTCACCCCACACCTCATATCCCTTGAGGGCAGTGCTCTTGTTTTGTTTTTATCTGGAAGATAAGGTGGGGGAGGAGATAAGTGTGATTAGGTGGTTTATGGAGCACAGAACTATCAAAAGATGCACACACACACACACACACACACACACACACAAGAGAAGCAGTTGTGTGGCTGGAGAGGTGGCTCAAAGGTTAAGAGCCTTTGCCACTCTTTTGCAGAACCCAGGTTCTGTTCCCAGCACCCATGAGGCAGCTCATTACTTACTATATGTAATTCCATTTCCAGTGGATCCAATTCTTCTGGCCTCTGCAGGCACCAGGTGAGCGCATATATACACAATGGCAAAAACAAACAAACACAAAACGACTCATACACGTATAATAAAAATAAAAAAGGGAGCCTCACTTTTTTTTTTTTTTTTGAGACAAGACTCCTGTTCTTTCCTCATTCCTCTGTACCCAATTCAGGTTCCTGAACACCCTACACCTCCTTGACCTTCTCCCTTTGCTGAGTAACCCACCCTTAATCAGACTTGCCCTCTGC